AGCAGCTGAAGCAGCAGAAGAAAGGTAAGGGCAGCGATATATGCTGGGCTTGCGACCAGTTTTTGGAATTTATCACTGGGGAATTCCTAGCACTTGGATACATCAGCTCAAAGTATTTCTGTTATCTCCCAATTACAGACTGAATCAGGTTCAGGACTCTTCCAGGGTTACTGAGAATCACTGTCCAAATTGGCAGTGTTTAGGAAATACTTCTCAGATAGCTGAACATTATTCACACTTGGAGGCAAATACCCAATTTGTCTCGTAGATTGGTCTCTTTAGCCTATAATTTGTTATGCCTTTAAGTAGTTACTTTACATACATCTTCCTAAAATGCCCGAGTAGTGTTGTAATTTCACTCAGATCGTCCCTTTTTTTTCTGCACCACATTCTTCTACTGCACGAGGATAATTTCTTGCACTGCAAGCAGATTTGTAGGTAACAGCTTATTTTGCGATGGCTAAAAGAAGGATCTACAACCAGAGGCCAATGTATAGATATCTTCCAGGACAATGTATAGATACCTTCCTTTTCCTTAATGGGTCAGGAGACAGCTCTGTTCTGCTTCGGGATTATTGGCAGCTTTGGGCTTTAAACATGGGATGTTGCAAGGCTCAGTGTGACACCTGCATGGTTGCTCTCTGTGGCTTCTGCTTCACTACAAAACTGCGGAGGAAAGCTGGTGTAGGCCTGCTGAAGTATATATGCAGTTGCAGAAATGGAAAGTAAGGCCTGTGCTCCCTAGCATTTCCATTTCCATTGTGAAGTTGCTACCATTTCCTTGACGCTGTATCCTCTCTTGTTCCAAACCAGGTTGGATTGTGGTAACGAAGGTTGTGCAGATGCTGTGGCAGGATACAGCGAAGAAACAATTGGTAGAAATGGAGAAACCAAACCTCCCAGCACTCGAGGTAGTAGTAGCAGTAAGAGTGGTAGCAACAGCGAGCTCTCCACCCCAGAGAAAAACCAGAACCAGAGATTCATCAATCGCTGGGAGACGTCCATGTTGCTGGAGCCCTCAACTACTGTCCCACTGACTGTAGGTTCACTCCCCAGCTCCCAGAGCTTCCTTGGAATGAAGTCCCGAGAATTATTTCGCAACAAGAGTGAGAGCCAGTGCGATGAGCAGGGTGGAACCATCAACAGCCTTTCTGATACTCTAAAGACTGAACTATGTAAAGATCCCAACATGGAGACGAAGGCCCCTCCAAGCCCCAGTAACAGCCTCTCACCTAAGATCCCCGAAAGCAGTGTTGGACAGCTTCATATCATGGACTACAATGAAACTCATCATGACCACAGTTAAAAAAGAAGATAGTCAATCAGTGTTATTTTCATATTCTTGGCATAGAACAGGAGGCGTGAATGCAAGTTTAACTAAAAGCTTTTTTGTTTCTTTGGTCTGAGCAGCTAGCTCATGCAGCGGAATAGGATCGATGTCCAGTAATGGAAGAAGGCTGCTGAACGAATGCAAAGTGGATTTTGGGGTCTGGAATTGAAATGCCCAGCCTAACTCTTGCTTCTTTCTCAAAATCAGTCTTTAGCAGCGTGTACTAATTTGAAGGGACAACTTAGCATTTGCAAGTATTTTTTTTCCCCCTTTCTCCCTGTCCCCAGTGAGTGGCTGCATTTATGAACTTGAGTGCAATATGAGGCCAAATTAACATTTGTGAGTCTACTACGAATGCTTTGTATTTCCTTGCAAGCTTCCAATTTAGAGCAGTTCATTGTGCTGCCTGTCTGGGTGACTTTGGTTGTTTTCATCCTGGAAAGGAGCAGCACTAGAATTTCTAGTGCGTTCACCCAAGGGTCTCTGTTTTGCCTGTCCACTGTCCCACATCCCTCAGAGCCCAGTCTTCACGCAGTTGGACTCTGAATACCTAAATGTTTAAGGAACGGTGTACCTCTGCAAAACGATTCATTCGCCGTAATTCATAATCATTGTTTATATTGTCCTTAACATTTCTTGGAAGGTTTCTTTTGAACAGACACTTGGTAAGGAACTGGAGCTTGTAATGCAGAGACCATATATGCTGAAGACTTGTTAAAACACTAGCTTCTGATCGTGGTGGTATCTTAAGTGTTTGCCTGACAGACTGGTACTGACCTCAAACTGGTTCATTTGGGAAAGCTATTGGGGTGGGAGAAGGAAGAGGAAGCTTTATTCGAGTAGGGAGAGCATGCAGAACATGGATGTAGAATGACGATTTGCAGCTCACAAAGATGTGCAAAGAGCATTTGTTTCTTTAATCAGGGAAATACTTGTCCTGCCTGATGTCCTTCAGAATTCTGGTCTTTGTTCCTGGTCTGAGCAAGACTGCAGTGTTCCAAGGCTGAGAACTAGGCCTCTCACTTCCTGGGAGTGTGTTTTCAGGCTTGACTTACAGAATACGGTTTCCTTTGAGTGCTGTTCTGCTCTGCCTGCAGCACACTTCTCAGCTCAGCAATGTCAGTTTGGCTCTAGGTATGTCCCCTTCACCCCCATCTCCTTAAAGGACAAGACTGAAGAAGCAGCCTGCTCGAAACGAGAACCTGAATTCTGTCACGAAGCCTTTCCATGTTAATCATGTTTAAGTCAATGGTGAGCCTTCTGTGAAGGAGGATGGCAGGATCAGGGCTTGTCAGTGGTCAGACTCAATCTCCTTTGTGACAGAACAGAGCCTGCAGTTAGGAAGGCAGTGTGCTTATTTTAAACCTTGGGTACGTCTGGGTCCAGGCGTACTTTGACATATCAGGCTTCACAGGTATCCTGCATCACGTCTCTTTTCTTTAACATTCTGTGGGTGGCAGCTGCTGTTGAAGAATTGTCTCAAATACAAATCAAAGCCAAGTACACTTGCACTTGTAGTTCACTTCCCTTTGTAAGCTGAACAGCAAAAGGAGTCTGTCACAGGGGCTGGTGGCATGTGAACGTGTGCTGGACACTACTTTGCCTCCCATTTCCAATTTTTACTTAACACCTAGGGTCTAAATACATTTCTGCCTGTCTAAATTATACTCAGTGTCCTTTCGGTTGGTCAGTCCTAACTCTGAAAGTAAAAGTGAACTTCAGTGGTTTTGTCAAAGCTTGAATCTGCATGGAATAGAAAATAGAGAGTTGGTTGTAAGTGACAGACTGGTTTTGTCGACATGTCTGTAGGTTTTCTAAGACTTAGTGGTAGCAAACGTGGTAGCGTATGTTTTGGTAAGATTTGGAGGTTTCCTGCCTCTCACCCCACCGGATCCCAGCACCGGGAGTTGAACGGTTTGCACATGGCCCTTGAAGGGCTGCCTCAGCTGCTGGGTGGAGTTGTGTTGCAGGAGTTTTCGACCATCCTGCTTCGCCGAGCCCCAGAAGAGTGTCTTGCTTCTGGGATGACCTCACTTGTTCTGAGGAGAGGCGGTTTTTGTTGTGGGTTACAAAAATGCCCTGGCGGTAATGCAAGCTCATTGATGAGGTGGCTTTTTTCTTCTTTTAAAAAAGGATTTTAGCACCAGGATAGTAACGGAAACCACTTTAGGTTTGTTTATGGACCACAAAGATTACGGAGGAACAAATTTTGCAATTTTTTTGTAAGTCAAAAAATCATGTATCTGCTGTATGTAGTTAACTTGCAGTTTGTTTGAAGGGGTCCCATCAGTGAAGTGGAAACAGATTTTTTTTTTTAACTGACTGCTTTTAGTTAAATCTAAAATTGCTGTCTTCGTCAATTTAATCTGTTCCCTGCCTCGCTCTTTGTAAGCATGTTAAACAATCTACATTAAATGCCATAAATATGAAGTACGAGGAAATGGTACAATCCTAAGCTAAAGAGAACTTAAACCAAAAGGAGGTTTTGCTGTCCGTATTAGAATGTTCTAAAATGTCAAGGCAGTTGCTTGTGTTTAACTGTGAACAAATAAAATGTATTGTTTTGCACTACTGTGTTAAATTCCCTGCGAGCCACTCTCTTTGGGGCCAAGGTGTGCTGAGACAAAACGTGGAGAAACAAACTCTGCATTGAAGCATCTTCCACGATCTGTATGCTGAGTAGTACTGAGCAGATAAGGGGGTCTGCCCCTTTTGGCATGGGGTTCTTTGCTAGAAGCTCCCTTTTCTGTGTGGAGCTAATGGCTTTTTATCTTCTGTGGAAAAACAACCTCAACAATGACGTGACGGTATAATCCACAAAATAACCACAGACGCTTCGGCACGGCACATCTGCATATTAGCTTTGTAGGGGATTGTTTATGTGGTCTAGAGGTTACAGTTAAGGGAAATTAACAGATGAAAATGTCAGACTGCTGGTTGCATAGCTGGGTGGCTTGCTCTGTCCCTGCATACGTGCTTCCCTCTTCTGTAACCTGCTCAAGAGTCACTGTACGCAGGGCAGTTCTTCAAACCAAGGGGGATTTGGGAGGTGATTTCACTGTAAGCTTGATATATTAGGTTAAGGTTGTTTTCATTTCGCCTGTCTCTCTTCTTAGCCTCCCTAACTAGCGTTTCTTACTGTATTTTTTTCCCTCAAAGAAATAAAAATAGTTGAAAGGTTGCTCAAAGCAATTTAGAAATTCATATATTGAACCTCAGCATTGCAATTACAGAATTAAGTATAATTCTTAAATTTGAACAACCCACACAAGGGCATGGCACAAGTGATGTACAGTCTGTCTGTGAAAACACATTGGTTGAACAAGAGCACTTAATAGAAAATTTTATATAAAAGTTACCCTGAGCCTTATCTTGGGGCTAGGCGATAGGGAAAGCTGGCTTTCAGTCTTCTGCAATGGGGTATGTTTTACAGCATGGTGTAAATGAAAGGAAAACAAAGCAGAAAGTTGATCTTGCCTCATTTTAAATACAGTTTGCATATCGCTTAACAAGCTTAAAGGGGAAAAACTACTTAACAGTGTAAAAATAATTAGGTAATATTACCCACAGAAGTTTGTCCACCAAGGTACAAAAAGAAGGTACTCACGGATGTGGAGTGCTGTGCTTGGTAGCTCATAAACCCAGCTGTAAATAATAAGCATGCAGTGGACACTAGTGAAAGAAATAACTTTATTTCCCAATTTTTAAGCATCTTAGCTGGTTCATCTTGATTTATTGGAACTATCTAGCTACAGGTGCAGTGGCCTGAATTTGAAAAGTGGTTACAGAGTAGTTCAGAGAAGCAACAGGAGCTGAGTTACTTCATTTGATCCAGTGGCAGCTTGGCAGGTGGAGCTCGGCTTTACTTTTCATGCAAAGCTTAACTCCAAATAATTTTGGCTGGTGCTTTTCATGATTTTGGCATCTGTGATCTTGGTGAAACTTTTTACCTGAAGCTGAGGACCTCCTCTAATTATGCCTCGCTGGGTGAACTCATGGTTATGTCAGGGCTCTGGGCTGGCCATCCGTGACCAAGAGCTGGGTTTTGGTGGTTGCTATGCCCACCCCCAGCTGAATTCAGAGCTCTGACAGAAACAAAGCTGCTGTGGGCTACGAGGTGTTTGTAGGCCAGCGAGGTGATGGAGCAGGACGGGCACAGCCAAGAAGAGCCTGTGGAAGCAGCCAGGAGGGGCTGGCGCCTGCGTGCCTGGGAAAGCAACCATTCTGGTGGCGAAGCCCTTTTGAGGCTGTGGGGCTGGTTGAGCGCCTTACCAACGGCTTTTAGGATACAAACGGCCTTTAGGAGGCTTTCACGGAGGCCCCAAGACCCGGGTGCCTCAGCAGGGCTCTGCGGGGCCCGGGGCCGCCTTCCCTGAGGCGGCCGCTAGAGGCCCCCCGAGGCCCGCGGCTGCCCTGGGCAGCGGCACCGCTCCCCTCAGGGGGCCGCCGGGGTCCGGCTCTCCCCGGGGAGCTCCCCCCGTGCCCCCGGGGCGCTCCCGAGGCTGTGGTGACCTCCCGGGGGCCGAGCAGGGCCTGGATGTTTAATCTGGAGTTTAATCTAGGGGTTTAATCGGTTGCGCCTTGGTAAAAGCCGGGTTTGACCCTCCTGCAGCTCAAGGGGATCGCAGAGCCTACAAACACCAGGATTTTTTGGGATCGTTTCCTACCAGCCCGTGTCCCCGCTGCCGTGTTTGAAAGCAAAGCAGCATTTATTTCCTGCACTGGCTGACAGACCCCGGGGTAAGTCACTCCGGTGCCCTGCCTGGGTTCCCAGTGTCTCCTGCGGTGTTGTGCTCTCAGAGGCTAAAGTAAAACTTCTGCACTTCTGCTTGGCGTTTACATCCTGTTTATGTAAATTCTTCAAACAGCTTGATTTGTAATAGAGAAAAACAATTCTCGCTGTATCTTTTTCTCTTTTGAAGTGTCCATCCACTCTGGAAGAGGAGAACTTGTATGGAAATTAAGTAATTTGTCTGGATGTTTTTGTGAGGTTTAACTTTGCAGTCTTCCAACAGATTCTGGTCGAGTCATTGCCAAACCTCAGACCCTGAGTTTCACGCCGTCATTTTTCTGCTGCTGTCTTAAAATTTTGTCTGCGTAAAACCGATTGAAAGGACGGGGCTGGGTTAGAAATAATTATTAAAATTTGTGGATTGTGGGTTTCTTGTGTGTGTCACAACCTCTGTCAGGTGTGAACGAACATTGAACAGCAGGTCTGGAAGGTAGCCGAGGTTTGACAGGACTGTTCTGACAGGCACTTTGTGCTGTCTTGAACTGTGGAAGCTGAAAAGGAACTACAAAGCAGAGCATAATTTTGGTCTGATCAGAGCCTGCGTAGTCAAATTTAAATGCTATGATAGCTAGGGTTAGGAAGGCCAGGAACAATATCTGAGGAAATTTCATTCATGTCCCGAAACTTGTCATCCTTCAGTCAACGTGGCACCTACTTGGTTTGGAAAACTTTCTAAAACAGTGTTAGCAGACACTTGTCTTTGCAACATGAAGCACTAAAGGGCAGCTGTGAGCATCTTGTATTTTTCTTTATAATGCTACCTCTGCAGCAGAGCTCCCAAATAAAGCCCGAGGTGGCAACAGGCACATTGTGCTGTCTGTGACCCCCTTAGTGCCTGAGAATCTGTGTGACCTCAGCAGGCTTCATTATCATTTTTAAGTTCACCACGTTTCAATTCAGCTGGGATGTGATGTCTCCCAAATACAGGCCCCTTCTCCAGAGTGGATTGATGTATTATATAGTGGCATATGGAGTTAGGGGAAGGAAAGAAAGTGCAAAGGAACAGGAGGTTGTGTGAGGAGAAAAAATGTTCCTGAAAGTACTTCCTATTTCATCTGAGCTATCATTCCTTCCTGTGCTCCCTCCTCTATAATAATTCTCCCTTCTTTTTTTTGCCTGTGTTGCCAAAATCTGGTCATCTTAAGGAAAAAGCTTTCCACAATTTTAGCAAACTGAGATAGATATGCAAAGGGAACTTGTTTATTCAGAAGTGTCTTCCAGCAGGAAGCAAAGAACAGGTGCTAATTTGCCTGTGGGAGGGGAAAAGAGCAGTCAGATACAGGGAAGACATTGCGTTATTGAGATCCTAAGTTTGTAGTTAACTGTGCTTGAAGAAAAGCACCACAAAAGATGCATATTGGCTGTGGGGAATGGGGGAGGGCCTGCGACTCTGCTGGCCCTCGCTAAGCAGGCTGGAAAGCAAGCTGTGCTCAGCACTGGTATAAAGTCATCGTGCTGGACTTGCAAAGTGCTGTTATAAAAGCAGCACAAGACTATTTCAAATGCCTTTCAGTTTTAATTAATTAGGCATCATCACACCCTTGAAAAAAAAGCTAGATTCTTTTCTGGAAAGAGGGGAAAGACATTTTAGTTTGCAGTTTAAAAAGGAACCATCTGAAAATGGCCACAGCTGAATCTCTCTGCTCCCCCTAGGTTCCCTGAATCACATTTAATGGAAATGACTTCCTGTTAGCTTTGCAGAGGTCTGGGGAGGAAGGGGGCGTTTATTCAAGTTGGAATATTGTCAATACACCAAACTAGGTGCAAAATGAAGGTTGTCCTCCTTTATATCTCTAGCTGCTAACAGCTAAGGAGTCAAAACAGGCATAAAGGAAACTGTTCTGTGTGGTGTGTACTGGTTGGTGATGGTGAGAGAACCTGCACGAATCCAGCAGAGCCCGGTCAGTGTAGCTAAGGCTCGATGAATGACCGTTTCTGTAGCCTGTGATGTGCAAGGGAGACATCATGAGGGTCCTGCAAACACTGATTCTTTGGTGCACAGACCAGGCAATTTCAATGGGATCAGCTGGGGTGAGGGAACTTTAGTGATAAGCCCAGTGTGAATGTCAGACATGCTTCTGAGTCCTTACTGAGAGACTTTTGCTGCTCTGCATCATGTCCTTCAAACATGCTGGTTATTCACACCTCCAGCTTTTGGGACTGAGTGGCTATTTCTCAGAAAGAAGTCTGAGAAAGTCTGTAAAATCCTGTTTTGGGTAGCTTGCCTGAGATTTGTATCCGTGATTAGAACCTGATTACTCCTGATTATTCCCTGCTCTCACCACAATGCCTGTGAAAGCAACCATGTGTGGTACAGCTCCTGCTGCTGGGATATGACTTTTAGGAGGAGAGAGGAAATAATAGCAAGGGAGAGCGGAGTGTCAAAGGCTATTTGACAGGACTAACTCTTCAGAACTTGGATCTCTAGTATTCATTTCACTGATTTTAATCAGCCACCTGATTAAAGGCAGAAAGCAGGAGAAGCATGAACTTCCATCCCTTAAAAGGCATGTCTACCAGGTGGTTTCCAAGGACTTTTCAGTTTCCCATTGTGATTTTCTGTGTCATTCGGGTGCTTCTTTCTGACATGCTTACTCCCCTGCACTTGTACACAATCTTTGTTACTAATTGAGGTCTGAGCTTCAGGGTGGACGGAAGGTGGGTTTTGGGAAATGGCTGCCCTAGCTGGTTCGTCCTCGGGTGCCCTCTTCTCAGAGAGAGCACTTCTACCACTCACATTATGCAGCATGTGCCGCGGCAGCTTCTCAGTGTGGTACAGCCACTCCTTCATGCAGTCTAGAACGATGGGGATGAGGCTCACCACACCTCCGTAATGGTTCTTGGCCTCATCACAGCTCAGGTGGTTCACAACATCGTGGGGATATCTGCGGCACAGAAGGACACAGTCAGCAGAGCAGCCCAAGCAGCGCAACCCTGGTGTTCAAGAGCATGTACAAACACTTGCCCCACGGAAATTAACCCTACACAGAGCAGGAACAGGAGGGAGGAAGAGACTGTAGGATATCTGATGGAAGGGATCCAGAAGGATCAAACTGCCTCATCAATGCACGTGACCTCAGGGTACTGACCTGCCTGTGTATGACCTTCCACGCCCCAGTAAAATGAACAAATACACAGATAAATTCCTTTGTGTGAGTGGAGGTTGGCAATGTTTTCACAACAGCTGGATCTGTAAACTGGGTAGCTCCTTTTATCCTTGCTAAAGCCAGAGAGGTGTTACAAGAGAAACCAACAGAGAAGTCAAGTAGGAATGTTCGTGTTCCCTCAATCGCCTCAAGGAGACCAAGCTGATGGCAAGACCTACTTAGCTCGGATGGTGCTCAGATCGTTGCTGTGGCTAAGGAGCAGCTTGCATCTTTCCAAAATGCCGTTGGTGGTGCTGTTACCAGGATGCACGGCCTCCAGCTTGTGGCAGAGCTTGCTTAGGTCATTACAGATGCTCAGGAACATGTTGAGGATACGCCTGTCCGTGGAATTGTTACAGTAATGGTCCATGTAGGACTGTACCTGTGGAGTACATAGGGAAAGACAGGGTCACGCACATTAAATTACATTTTGATGTGCTGCAAAGTTGCTCAGGTTAGTGACAAGAAGCTGCTTTCTCTTGTGACTCTGAGGGAGTCCCTCTTTGAAGAAGTGTGGGACTGCTGCAGCCAAAAGCACAGCTCTTCTCCGAGCATTGCAGAGAGAGGTTGGATGTCAGCAGAGTTTTGTCTCCGCTGCCACAGCTGCTTGCATCGAGTGGGGTGGGAGGTGGGGGCAGTGACCAAGCTGCAAGTGGTTTGGAGTAATAGCGTGGATGTGCTCACATATGTGCGCGTTCTCCGTGGCTCTTTATTTGGTACCACTAGATGTGAATGCAAAATTAAAACCATTTAACTTAAATTGTCCTTACCAACCAGTTATAGCAATGATATTCTCTATTTCCCTGGAATGTTTTTGTTGTTTTTGTTACCCAGAGTGAATGGCACTGTATGACGAGACGTTATGCCAAGAGATTAAGTCCCTTCTCCAAAGGCATTGCAGCCACTTCAGGCGTGAGTGGTCGGAATACAAAGCACGGCGCGGCTGGTTGGCAGTCCTGCCTGGACTCAAACACCTTTAGTGCTTTCTGTAAGATTTCAGGATAAGAACAGAGGAACAGTTCCAGCACTGGAACAGCCTGTGCATACAGAAAAGCCATGCAATGCACTTGGGCAAATTCTCAGCAGGTTTGTAAGAAAAATAAAAAAGGCCCCTACGGGTCCATTTCCACTACAGATTTCTCCTCCTGCTCTGCTCACGGTGCGTTGTGTCCGTGTGAGTGGCAGGATTTTTTTATTGTTGCTGTGTGCAGAAATAGTCCTAAAGAGAATAGCATTTTAGCCTGGTTGTTCAGCGATAGGATTACAGGACTCCTTTCTGTCAGTATCAACAGAAGGGAGTTAATGCACCTGCATACCCAGCATGGGGACCAGGACAACACGAGCAATGGCTGGCAAGGATCACACAGGTCTGCATTAGCCACTTGCTGGCTCCTGAGCTGCAGCCCAGGGGGTTCAGGGAGAGCTCCTACACCGGACAAATGCCCCGAGCACAGCCACGCTCTGCAGCACAGGGACCTGCTGGGTCATCTGAGTCTGTGGATGAAGCAAGTGACTGAGGAATTTGTCTCACAAAACCACTGGGGATTTGCCTTCGTACCCTGTCCCCTGCAGAAGTCTTTAAGGAGCTGTTGCTATTTCCTGTCTGGTTGCATCCCCGGTGAAATTTCTCTCGGTTCCTGCACAAGGGATCAGCAGTTTGTGCTGCACCAGTTCTTCCCCCTTCTCCCCAGTACCCTGCTCTTTTCCTTTTTCCACTCTCCCCCTAGGGCAGCAAGGTTATACCCTTAGGGCTCTCTGTGCAGTATGGTTTGCCACCACTAAGCTCATGTTACCACGTCACAGAGGATGCTGTGGATCAGTTAATTGCAGAAGTAGTTACCTATGAGGTCTCGCCCCCACAAAAAGCAGGCCTTCCAACCCTGCCAAGAAAGAGAGTCCAAGCCTGCTCCATCCTTCTGAAGTATCAGCACGTTTGAGACATAATAATGCAATACGAAACCTCAGTGCCTATTTTTGGAAGAAAATGGATCTGTTTTATGTCTGTCCAGATCCTCTTCAATGTTATGAATGAAGCCCATATGTTAGAATTGAGTCAGCCCTCAGAAAAGACAAGCAGCTCACTTCTGTTTCTTCATCCTAATCAGAGCTTGGCTTTCACTCCGACTTGGGCACGCATCTGGGTTCTGAGCCTGGGTTCTGCTTTCTTACATCCACAATTCTCATTTTATCCTGATATTTCTTCCCCCTTTGTCTTCCAGTGGTCTAACTTCTTTGCACTACTTAAAACATCCTGTGTTATAAAAATTCCAAGACAATTCACTTACCAGCCCAGAAAACACCTAGCCCACCTGGGAGTTTCAGCCCTCGATCCATCATCCTATGTCGGTAACACAGCCATTATTTTTAATAAGCACTATAGAAAGATACAGCAGCACCAATACCGGGGGGAAGAGGCGAGCATGCTGCTTACTGCGAGTTAAGGATTACAGAGTCCGTGTGTGGCTGGGGAAGGAGGCTTGGTTTGATTGTGTCTTGTACCCTGCATTTCTGGCTACGCCTCGGAACTGAAATGACAGTATTAAACTCAACCCTAAAGTGATGCTGAACGATGTAATTCCTTCTCTGTAACCAGGAAAGTCTCACGTAGTCATTTCCCTCCCCTACCTAATCTTTTGCCACCGGTTTGCAGAGCTACACACAGATGTCAGAAGCAAGTTGTGTTGCATCTTCCCTTAGTAAAAACATTTATTCATCGCCGAACTAGACCCAAGCATCTGGCAGCACTGCCTTGTTCTCTGTGCCCACCAGCAGAGAACTTTGTGCCGAGTGCTCTGTACCTGGTCGATGCTTGCCACGGGTCTGATCATGTCGTGCGCGTTCTCTCGGGTGTGTTGCAGCGCCGCGATAAACGTGAACTGCTGCTGCAGGAAGAGCCTGTAGTGCTGTTCTACGGTTCTTAGAGCCTCCTTTACCTCGTTCATGTTTCCCCCACCTGGATTCTGGCAGAGAAGGAGAGAAAGGGAGCTACTTTTTAGCAATTATGCGATTTTACACGTGTAATTCTATCTTTCACTTCAGTTGGAATTGTGGAGCTAAGTAGAAAAGTTTATTAAAATAAAAAAAACGCAAGAAAAGAGAAAATATGTCGTGCCAAAGCCCTGCAGGCCCTGAGCCCCAGCTAGCCAGTCAGTGAGGCAGTAACGATGCTGCAAAAAGAGGCAGAGAGCCCAGAGGGCCCCTGGCAGTCAGATGCTACAAACCCCGGCGGCTCTGCTCTAAACATAAGCACAGCGCGCTGAGACGCCCGGGGGGTGGGCAACACCTCCCTTACCCCATCCGAAGCCACCGCCCGGCGCCCCCGGCCGGGCCCTCACCGCTTGGCTTCCCTCAGGGAACCCCCCGGGCCCCGGCACCCCCCGGCTTCCGGCGGCCCCGAACCCTCGGGGGAGCACCCAGAGCCCCCCAGGGACCCCTCAGCGGACCGGGAGGGCCTCTCCCCTCTCCCCGGCTCCCTACCGGCCGAGGCAGCCCCGCGGGGCCGGGCCGGGGCCGGGCCTGGATCTGCTCCCCCCGAGCTCGGCGGCGCCGCCGTCTCCTTGGCAACAGCCGCCGCCGTCTCCCTAGCAACCGCCGTCGCCGCTCGATGACGTCGCCGCCTCCCCGCGCGCCGCAGGGTGATGACGTCACTCCATAGCAACGCGGCGCCGGTTGCTAAGGGAGGCCATGGACGCCCCCGGCCCGCCGTGGCTGCCGTCGGCGGGAGCCTACGCGGAGCAGCGGGGGCTGTGGCGGCTCCTGCAGGTGAACGGCGCCGGGCCCCCGGGTGAGGGGCATCGGGCTCGTGTGAGGAGGCCGGGGGCAGGGTGTCCCGGTTGCCTCCTGCCCCACTCCGGCCGCAAAAGGCACCGGGGAGAGGATTAAGGGGGGCCGGGGCCTGTCTGTAGGGTCAAAAGCGGCCTCCGGGATCTGCAAGGAGAGTCCCGGCCCCAGAGGAATCTGAGCTGTGTGCCGCGGGTCTGGTCGAGGGCACGGGCTGGGGCTGCTCTGGGACGAAGCCGAGGGGGGTCAGCCCCTGTGGGGACTGGTGCTGACCCCTTGCCCTTCCAGCTCGGGCTTTGTGAGGCCTTCTTCAAATCTCCCTGGAAAACAAAAGCTTATTTTCCCTTCCTTCTCCTCCTCCTTTCTCTTCCTCTCTTTTTTCCCCATGTAATTCCAAGGCCATTTGCTATGAGCACCGTGGCTTTATTTTATTTTATTTTATTTTATTTTATTTTATTTTATTTTATTTTATTTTATTTTATTTTATTTTATTTTATTTTATTTTATTTTATTTTATTTTATTCACATTGTGAGGCACTGGAAGCAGCTGCAGGACCTCATGCTGTGTAAAATGCTTATGGGATTTATGAGGAGCGTTCTTTTCCCTTCATGCTTCAGCTGTGTTGTGGCAATATAACAGTACAAAGAGAGCTTGAATTTATTGTCCTACACTTAAACATTGACAAAACTCAAAGTGCAAAAACCAAAAACACGAGACCCAAGATGTGAACCTCCCCCAGAGATTAATGGAATTGCTCGTGTAAAATTAAACCGGGCTTAGCAGAAGTGAATAAAATTAAGCAGGTGTGTAGGTGGTGGTGGGACGTGGGCACAGAATAGTCAAGAGTATCAGTCATGGTCAGCCTGAACAATTTGGCATTGTGATAAGACCAAATTTTCTAGCTTTGTTATTTTTAAAGCCACTGATAATTGTAGTGCCAAGTTCAGATTTCTTAGTTTAAATCAACAATGCTGGAAAGTAATCATTTTAAAATAAAATTTCAATAAAAATATAAATTTTATACTTTAGGCTATTTGCTACTCAGGCTTGGAAGCATCAGAATTTGCATGTGAAACAGTTCATAAACAAAATAGAGTGGTTTAATTATTCTCATGAAGTGAATGAAGCAGAAAAGGAAATTAAACTAATAAAAGGTGATCAGTTGGCTAGAGTATAACATTTCATGGAGTACACAGACTTTATAGAATTTACTTTCAAATATAAAAGTGTTATGACTGATTTTTAGGAAAAAAAAATCCTATTCCAGTGTAAGCAGTTCGGTAGATAATCTAAGTGAGAACGTTAGCTGCTGTTTGATGTTTAGTTTTAATCACAGAATCCTTGGCTGTGCTGAAATGTTTTATAAGAAAATCAGTGGAGTTAGTGTTTCTTAGTGTTATTCCTTTCCCTGCCTGTAAAGCTGCAGTCATTGCTGAAATCAGCAGCAGGATCTCTGCTGGTATCAGTGGGAGCTAAGCAAGGCCCCGTATAACCTCAAACATTTAATAAGAAAATTGAATCCAAAGCAGTCGTTCAGAGAAAGGCTTTAAACCCTTCTCCCCCCCCCCCCCAGTTTTCATGCAGGAGGAAGACCAGCAGGGTTAAAGAAGTGAGATGTGCTGCTTTTGTGGTCTCGATTGGTTGTGGGCTTTGTGTGTTTTCTGCAAGTCTCATCTATCCTGCGGTCCTCTAGGCTGGTTGGGAACTTGTGGGAATGTGCTTGAGAAAGGTTTAACTTGTCCCGAAGAGATGCTGATTTAAGCTGGCTGGTTTTGAAACTGCTTGTATGGTTTTTGTCAGTGCTGACTCAACCCTTACCTACACCAGACTGCCCAAGCAAAACCTTTCTGGTATCTGTCTGTATCATAATTAAGCTAAAGAAAATAGTTTTTTTGTTTGTTTGTTTGTTTGTTTTTTGGCATTTTTAAACTGTTTTACTTAATTTTTTTCAGCCTCTACTAAAGGTTTCATGTTCTCTATTCTGTTTATTGAAAGGGACTTAAGAAAATGAATTAGCATTTATAAACTCTTTAAGATCCTCATAATTACATTGTCTTAAATTGCAATATATCATGACTATCGTGACACATAGCTATGTTAAATTTTCCTCTAACATTACCCATTTATTTTCAGAACATGGTTGAAGAACTCTTGATTCATAAGCCAGATGATCCCATTCAGTTTATGATAGACCATTTAAAGCAAAATAATGATGATGGTAAGTGAAAACAGAGAGACCACAGACACTTCAACTTATATTTGTAAACAGCTGCTTAGAAACTGCACTTCAGTTGGCAAATGATGGATGCAACTTTTCAGACCACGTCTTGAGAAAAAAAAAAAAAAGTGAGCATTTTGGGATAGCTATAAATAAGATGCTTTTTAATTTCCTTTTTTTTTTTTTTTTAGTTGGTAATCTAATAAAAAATGCACTTTAACAGTTATAACAATGAAACCCTCTAAGGGAATAACAAAGAGTTCTAGTGTATCAATTATTAATGCATTCTGTGCCCCATCTGATATTTCCTGTTGTCTTTAAGCTCGCTAATTACTCCTTTTGTCAGGTGTAAATTTGGTTTCCCATCCTACCTGGGCTGGCAGATTCTCTGTTTTTTGATTAGTTAGTTACTAGCTGTTGTTAATGAGTTCCACTGCTCAGTGGCATCCTAGATGAAGGAACAGTGAGTGTGCCTACACACATGTATAACAAAACCTGGTAAATTGAATAGGAAGTCTCTATTCTGCACAATAAAAGCATGTAGGCTCAATCAAATTATTTGATTTACAAACTGTTCACCCTTAGGCAGATTATATTTGGATATGCACAACTGAACTATAATTTTTGTTCTGCATGAGCTGTCAGGAACAGCTGGTGTCATGTTGCTTTGATGTTTCTTTAAAACCATAGTAAACCATTATGAAAGTTCTGCTGCAGCATCAATGAAATCATTATCACTGGAGGTGCTGTGAGCTCTTTATACATAGCGGTACTGATCAGATGGATGTAGATTGAAGTGCTGCTAAGTATCCAAAAAAAAAATAATCAAATTCTGCAAATTATGTCCAGCCCTTTCTGATGTGGGCAGCGTGTGGAATCAATCTATTTTGTAGACCCATGGAAAATTTGCAGAAGAATTTCAGTTTGGTAGAATGCAGATAAAATTTCTTCACATTAATCTAACATTTGTCCTTAAGCCCCACAGTATCATTTGCACAGAATTAGGCAGGTTTTGATTTCGTGACTTCAGTACTTGGAGGCTAAAGATAGAACTACAGCAGCTGTTTGTCAAGAGAAAAATGCTGTCTGCTTTTGGTCTGGAAAAAAAATCTATTAAGAAAGGGAAGGCACTCCAATTAAAATTAGAGCCTAAATGTTGTTTTAGAAATAAATTATATGGAAAATAATGTAACAGAAATCTGTAACTGAGTTGATTTTACTTTTTGATCATGGCAGAAGGTGCTGACTATTTAGAAGAAAAAAACCCTTATTAGAGCCATCAGTAAAGCAATGAATTTTCATGATCTTGCCTTGCTAGACAGCTTTAGCCCTAGAGAAAATTTCAAACAGAGATGTGTGGAAAAGAAGTATTGCATCTATCCCAGGTGTGAAGTTAGAAAACCTTTTTAATTAATAATAGGATCTAAAGTACTCTTAAAAATATAAACAACTCTAATGATGATTATAGCTTACAACTGTCTCGAAAAGCTCCTAGGTCAAAAGTGTGCCTGAGTGTTTGTACTCAGTGCTCTGTGCTATTGTTCTTTCATGTGATCCTTCTGAAAACCTTAAAAAGCCTATGAAGATTGATAATTCTTTAATATACAAAGATGCTAGTTTTCTACATTTTATCTTGGTTTGTGTTAGCAAAGAGCGCTTTCCAGATCCAAGTGACATTTCTGTGAGTTCTTGCTTTACTCTTATACCTCTGAAGAAATGTAACAAAGTTCTGCAAGAATGTTCATGATGTGCTATGAAGTTTTCCTCTTTGACAAAGGATTTTACTCACAACTTAAACATTTTTTTTTTTACATTAATATTAATCATAGACCCTTTTGGACTAAAATGGAACTCAGTGAGTCCAGCTGTTATTTTACATTATCCCAGGATTTATTTATTTTTATTATTATTGAAAGCATCCTTGTATGTTAAAACTTAAGAATGCTTGGAAAAGAAAATTCTGTAACATCTTGTCAAGTCTAAGCGTGGAATGGAATATGATTTGTTAATGAAGAAGTAATTTTGCAGATTTTCTGCACTTCATTTAGCTGCTGGTCCAGACCTCCGGTATTAAAGACTGACCGTTTGCTGATTGGAGAGGGTTAAACATTACATACAGTGGTGTCCTGGTTGTGCCCTTGTGTCATATGTTTAGGGAGAATGCTTTAGAAGAGTCTTACAAGTGTGCAAATGAGAAAATCAGTGAATTACACTGCCCCATCTGCTGCAAGCCACTAAGCAGAGAGAAAACCAGATTTAGTACAAAGTGAGCATTTACAGTAGCCCTGGGCAATATTAAAGCATGATATGGTGTATATAATGGTATGTTTCGTTTTTTATCAAACGTTTGTCCAAGAAAGCTGTGTATTAAAGCTTCAATACCTAAGGGTTTTCTTGTGAATTTTAAATCATGCTCCTAGTTAAACCTCAAAAGGATCTGTGGATGGAAAGGTTTTTTGATTTTCTTTGAAGTGGTTTGAAGAAGTTGATTAGTGTTGGCACCCGAGCACTCTTTTATGACGCTGTTTATAAATAATTCCTAAGTATCGGGCTGGAGTTTCAAGGTGTTAGATTAGAAAAAAAAAACTAGGATTTAATCACATTACATTTGAAAGAAA